GTGGGGATATGCAGCCCTGCAACTGCTGTGTAGTTTGTTTAACGTGTTTTCTGTAATATTCTAAAATCCAGTGGTGTAAGGTAACTAAATATATTTACTCAAGTACACTACTTGGGTACAATTTTTAGATACTAGCACTTTAACTGCTACTTTGTACTTCTACCCCACTGCCATTCAGAGGTTAATGGTGTACTTTTACTCCACTACATGTATTTAATACCTTTAGTTACTTTCCAGATGTGGATGAATGATGTGAAAAACAAAGTGTTGAATCAGACTTTAGTTCCACCTGGAGTAAATCCACAAGCTACCCTGCAGTATACAAAGTCATTCAAACTAGCTGCACCTTCACCAGCTTTGAGAACACTTTCATGATCAATCATTATAAAACATATCATATATATTATTCTGAAATGGACCAATCTGCACAATCACTACTTTTACTGTCACTACTTTAACTATATTTTACTTTTGTACTTTTACTTGAGCAACAGAGTATTCCTACACTCTGGTACTTCTACTTTTACCTAAGTACAAGATCTGAGTACTTCTCCCACCTCTGCTAAAATCCTATGGAAGGATCCCATTGTTTTTTTCGAGAAAGCCCTTGTGATGCTAACTTCTTATTTGTCTTACAAAAGTAAATGATCTGTGCACCACTCTACTGAAAATCTGAATGTAGCATGTTGCTGAGTGGTCTCCTCTCACTCTCAGGTGCTGGGGGCTCCTGGGAAGGCGGGCTCTGGGATGAACCCCGTCCAGTTCGACCAGCCGGCTGAAATCTTCGTCCACCCCTCCGGAGAGATGTACATCGTGGATGGTGACGGTGGGATGAACAACCGCCTCATCAAGCTGTCCAAAGACCACGAGGTGATGTGGATGCACGGAGAGAAAGGACAAGGCATGGCTCAGTTCTACATCCCCCACAGCGTCACCGTGGACGACTACCACCGGGTGTGGGTGGCCGACCGGGGCAACAAGAGGATCCAGGTGTTCAACTCCATCACCGGGGAGTGGCTGGGGACCTGGGGGAGCTGCTTCTCCGAGGACGCCCCCTACTCCGTCCGCCTGACCCCAGACAAGAAGTACTTTGTGGTGGTCCAGCTGAACACCAACCAGATCTCGCTGCTGGAGGCTCCCCCCGTGGGTCTGATCAGCCAGTGCAGGGTGGTCAGTGTGATCCAGCTGGCTGAGGAGGTGAAGCCCCACCTGGTGGACCTGGACCTGAAGACGGGGGCTCTGTATGTGGCAGAGATCGGGGCTCAGCAGGCCCAGAAGTTCACCCCCTTCCGTCTGGGGGGGAACTTCCTGTAGTGCCACACTTGAAAGGTCTATAATAAACCAGCTACGCCAATAATAAGCACTATAGATTATTTAAAACGCTACCGAAAATGTCCATGTTGTGTCATTCGCAATCATGTGATCCATAAATTATTGATTTGTCAGTAAGATAAAACATCTGGGGTTAAGATTTCTAGGGTATCCCCTGACAACCCTATCTCATAGAAACAAAATGTTATTCAACAGAATGTATGAAAGTATAGCTATATGGATACCTTGTTTTAAATATAGATACCTTTTTTAAATATAGATACCTTTTTTTAAACTTGAATAAGTAGGAAAAGGCTAATTCTGAACACAGCTTCAAATGTTACAACGTATGAATTTTGTTTTCTTTCAATATCCGCTCGTAGCCAAGAAAGAATGATTATTGTTTGTACAATTGTGTTCAGGCAACACAGCACTGAGTAAAGGTTAGCGAATGTGATCATCTTTCATGAAGCTGCAAGAAGCTAACAACAAGAAGCTAACAACAGGAAGCTAACAACAGGAAGCTAACAACAGGAAGCTAACAACAGGAAGCTAACAACAAGAAGCTAACAACAAGAAGCTAACAACAGGAACAAACAAATCTGCTTAAAGTAAGTATTTACTTTGACAGATATAAATATCTGTCAAAGTAAATACTAAAAAGTAGTTTGTTTGTAGCACGAGATTTTGATTCTGAGCATGTTCAATTCCACATTATGATATCAGGCAAACACTTGAATTAGTATAGATGTCATTTAATGTTATTCAAAGTAACTAAGGAACAATTATTGTCTGTAAGTATTGTAAAAGTACTTATTGTAGAGGGCATGAGTCATTCCAATGATTAGCTAAAACACAAGTTTAAAGTAAAAAAAGAACCTTCTGCTCTAAATGCTGCTCAGTGGTTTCTAGAAAATAGATAAGGGTCTCATGTTGTTTATTTGTTATCTGGTATTAAGTGAATGACTTATGGGAATGTTTTTGAAGTTTTGTGCCATTTTTTTATTTGTATTTCACTGCAGTCACTTTAACTCTTCTGTGCTATTTGCTGGTATATGGCTATTTGAAGACATGTGTATTATTACTCATGAGTACATCAAGTGAATTGTTAAAGGGATAGTGGAAATGGAACCTCAAATAGTTTCGTTTTAACTTATATACAAGCATAATTACGTACCAAAACAATCTCACCTGATTAAAAAAATATAATAATTGCCTTACGCATGTTAGAAGCACTTTATTGCAGCTTCCCCGAAGTTTTTTAGAAACGAAATGTTCGACTCAGCCAAACCGGAAGTGACGAAAACTTAGGAAGACGATACGATAACAAACCATGGCGTCTATGCAGAATGAACGTGGAAGGGCAAATATACCAGACAAAGAAGAAGGATTGTACGAGGTATCCAGTGATGATAGCGAGTCAGAAACATCCTCTCGGCTTTCCTACGAAAATGTCGTTTTAGGAACTGAATCTGAATCCGGTTCAGTAAGCGACGATGGTGACAATATTGAGCCAGACGATGGACCATTACGTCCTTATTTGTTCGAGCCCGAGCCTGAGGTGATGGTTCACGGCATGGGCAATGGCGAGGATGACCAGGACCAGGCGCCAGATGATGCACCCCTACGCACAAATAATCTTGACTGGTAGGTCCCTAAGCATAGCTCACGCATCTTAAGATCACCTGTAGCCTTTACAAATATTAATCATTGTTAACCAGTTAAGCCCGAAGGTCCCCCCAGTGGACCCCTCCCACAGTTTTTTTTCTCTCACATGTCTCAGGGCTTCTTAACATTTATGAAACTATTAATGTTTCATACCCTTTTAAAGGTAAGAAACTCCGCTAACTGACAATAAGAACAATTGTTAGCTAGAAAAAACACAAGAGTAATACCAAGCCTTTGAATTAGCATTGAGCGAAACAATGCTAACTAATGCTAACGCTTTTTTACACACAACACACGGTAGAAATGCCCTTATTACTATCTTAACTGCACAAACAAGATATACGATTTAAAGCTGAGACTCCACAGGTGTAATGTCATCACTGTAAGACCTTGAATTCCTGGAGCTATCAGCCAGAAAAGAGAAAGTAAACAACATCCGGTTCCAAAAATATTACAATAATTACGTCTTACCTTTTTTGATTTGTGATCAAAAGTTGTGTTCAACGGAATAAAAACGCATCTCAAGGTTAATCCAATGTCGTTGTGTCACGTAGAATTTTGTACTGATAATCAATCATCATATTTATGGCAATATACTCGGTATAAAGTATTGACACATCTATTCACCATAATAAAGGTCGGCTATTCACATGCAAATGCTATTGAATGTCCGCCATTGTTTGTGCCCGTCTTCCTATGCTCTCGTCATCACCCGAAGATTCCCGACGATTCCCGAAGTATTTCGTTTCATTGAGAGGGCGCAGTAAAATTGAAAATAAAATGAAACTAGGCGCATGAAATTTAAAAAAATTGTTTATTATGCTTATTTTTAATAAAAATACATAAGTTAAACCCAAAATTCGCGGATTTCCACTATCCCTTTAAGCATGCTGTTTGATCTGCATTGTTTCTAAATCTCATTGAAGCTCAGAGAAAAAGGATTTAAAGGGCCCATTGCATGGTCCTTTCTACTGATCATAATACCATTGTTGAGGGATATTACAATAGAAAAATACTGTGCAATTTTCCAAACTCAGATTGGTTTCTCATACATTATCTCTGAGTTTTCACTCCCTGTGCTAAACGGCTCGATGGAGTTCCTGCCCCCACCCTCCTGTGCGTCCAGTGTTTTCCGATTGGTCAGCTCTGCCACTCTGTTCTGATTAGTCAACCACCAGAGAGGCTCTGCCCCTGTTGACATCTGCCGTAAAGTGGTTTAGCGGGTACTTAGCAACATAGCAATACTAGATTTGAGAATCGATAGATAGATAGTTATATAGATAAATAGATAGCTTACATATAGCATACAACTTCGAACCTCCGTTCGATCCTAGAATAGACCAAATCGTGAGTATTGCCTCGCCGTTCACTAGAGCAGACCAAACAGTGTCATTGTGGTACGTTTTTATCTAGTAGGCTATATGTCTTACATTTCAGATGTCATCAGATGTACCTACAACTGTTGTTATTTAGGTGCCGTTGTGGAAACTGCGCTTTGATGCCAAGTGACGGAGAAAACGTGTGCTGCAATAGCATAAGAAAGGTAGCCTAGCTTAGTTACATTATGTCGGCAGCTAGCTGAAAACACCAACAGTAGCACACATACCAAGATATACAGCATACATATTTTTCAAGTCAATAGACTATTATATGCACTTTTATTACTTCCTTAGTAATTGAATGTTTATTTTGTAAACCTTTCCCATAGTTGGTTTAAAAGCTAAACGTGTTTTGTAACACATCTTACATTCATAGGTTGTAACACGCATGCTGCAAGTTCCAGAACCCATTAACTGCATGGTTGACCACCCAGGACTAGAGCCTAGCTTGAACCCATACCCCCTGCAGAATCTCCACAATATTTATAAATACAGTTTCGGACCTTTGACAAATACAACGGAAGAAGAGTAAGTTATTGTTACCTGTAATAAACTACTACCGTTTGATGAAAAATCAAATCATGGTTTGCTATATATGAATGATATGTTATAGGAGCAAATAATTCAGGAAAGAAAGGCTACTAAGTATTTCCATCAAACTTTATTTTTACAAATGTACAAAATGTGTGAATGTATATTTATACACTGTACATCATCCAATCCTCTCCTGATAAGCGTTTTCGATATCTTGCGTATCGCAGCTTTGTAAGCTGGTGCTGGGGATATTTAGGGCGAGGCATCAGAGTGGTGATTCCGTCGTGTGTTGTGCTCCGGATCCGCCAGGAGTTTCCAGATCTGGCTGGACAATATGTAGGATTTCGACCTTCTTTGGGGAGAAACGGCTGACAATAATTTCCTCCTTGGGGGGCCTGTCAAATTGAGTTGACAGGTCCTCTGGGACGTGGATTCGTTTCAGCTCGTCCACAAAGGGTGTAGGGTCCAGAAAGACTTTGTGAAACACAAGCCTCGTCAGCTCATCCACATAGACTGAAAAATAAAGCATTGTATAAATAATTTGTTATTGTTATTCACTTTTTGTATTTAATGTAATACTTTTATTGTTCATTGTATCTTTAATCATTTGAAATGTAAGTTCTGTTAATAATAATAAAAACAAATATTTCACAACTTACTGTATGTAGGGTCGTTCTTAACAGGCTTGACCGTACACTCTCCCCTCTTTGATTTTGGATAAGCCAATTTGAAGACAAGTTTTCCTGCAGCAGTTGTCGCTTGGTCACGCCCAGCATTCTCGTTGTGATGCATTGCTGCTAGACACAACCTATAGAATAGCAAAATAAAATGAGACTTTGTGTTATGACAGAATAAAACCCTCATGCCACTAAACAGTGACTGTGTTATAAGATGCTAGAATAAAGTATACAGTGCACAACATTCCAATGAAGGGGAAAACCACATTTTTTTGGGGTAAAACGCAGAATTAAGTTGTGGAAGGACTCCAGGGATGAGGTCTGGTAGTGATGGCTTAGCTTTAGCACATCTTTGAGAACTCTCTTGTTGGTGAGTATCGTTTCAACTCTGGCGAGTGTTATTGAGCCTTGAGTAAAATGACAAAGACATTAGGTAAATCACCAGCACATTAGAACATTACAACAATAATTTGCCATAACAACAATGTTATATTTACATTCTATATTGTTGATCTTATGAAGGAAGTGAAATATTGAACTTACCACCTTTTAGGTAAGGTTTATTTGCATCGCTTGCGGCTCCTACAGGATGTGTGCACTTGGGGAACAGGGGGTCATCATGCACGTGAACGTTTTGTAGGTGGTTGACCAGTGACGTCCACCTTGCCACCTTCTCCGGCCCGAGGTTGTGCTCGTCGCACTCCAGTAGACATGGTTTTTTTATGCTGCGCAGCCACCTCTTCAACTTCGTGTCACAGTCCTTGTTCTGTGTAAGTTTCAGAAGTTTCTTGGACAAACCTGATAAAAAAAAAGCACATGCACAAGTTAATATTCAAGTCATAGTGTGGAAATGACATGCTGTGATGGACAACATTCAAGGGTGTGGTGGAAATTCCACACTTCATATATCATCAACCATAACATACATATGATAATTGCCTGTCAGTGCGACACCCTTCTGTCCGAAAACATTTCATAGCCAGGAAACCTCCATACATATTCATATCACTGTAAATTCCCATTCTAAAGAGTACTCACATTATCCTAGGATTAGTGAGTGAAATGTAATTTACAATGAGAAAAGGTGCTGTGATCAAGTGGTCTGGCAGGCCAAATTGTAGGAGATATAATAAATGTATTCAGACATTATGTCATGTCTGCTGCTGATTAGAAGCTCAGGATAAATTGCATAGTAAAACAAAGGAATATCTTAACAAAGGACAGTGCCTCTGATTTGGTATTCTTCCATTACAACATATAGGGATAAATACCTTTTTTAAAGTGCCACACATCATAGAATTGTTCGATGTTGCGTTCCCTCAGGTACTTCTGGATCTGCGGATGACGGTCAGTCACAATGTACTCAACCGCCAAATCCTTTGACTCCAGATGATCTAGGCATCTTTTGAGTCCCTTCTTTTCCATGTGGTAACTACCACCTACTTCATTGCTCTGTTGGGGAATAACAAATAGGGCATAAATACACAGAAGCATGTCTATCAGTAATCAACACAGTTAGCTTGCCAGCTAATATGCTAACCTAATATGCAGTTTAACAGCTAGTCTAGGCTTAGCAAGAACATCTTACAATATTATACAGTTAGTCTGCTACGTTCGGTCATTCATTGTAGCTGGCATGAAAACAATGTTTTTCATAACATCTCTAGGTTAGAGCTTCTAGCTTAGCTTATTAATGGTAGCTCGGTAGAATACACGAACGGCAACTGTAATTACTGACCGTACGGTTAAATCACCCGGAGTATACTGTAGCGATCCTGTTAGGCTACTCAGGGTGTCACTTTGGCAGAGAGACGGGGGATGCCTATCATAGAGCTGCACCGTGATGGTGGCTGAGGTGCGGGCCTGTGGTTGGTGGAGCGGACGGGGGAGGGCGGGGAGTTGTGACGTAGACAGTGCTATATATATGGGTATATGTAGAAGTTAGTATGAGTGTGAGTGGAGTGTGCGGTAGAACCCACGAAGTGTACTTGACCTGTTATCATCTGTCTTCAAATACTAGTTATTAAAGCCTAATAACTACAAGCCTGTCTCCGACTCATCTTGGGAACGTTACATTGGTGTCAGAAGTGAACTTTTCGAACAAGGGACGTCTATCCGGACGAGAGTCGTAACTGCGTCACGGAGCTAGCCGGTAAACTAGCGGGGATGGATAAGTTCAGCAAGATGGGAGTGAAGCAGGAACACAGTAGTGATGAAGAGGAAGATGGAGCATGTGGGTGGTCGAAGGACATGAGAGAGGAGTTCATGAGTGCACGGGAGGTGAGAGAGCGCCTGAGAGAGTCGGCGGTGAGGATGGCTAGAGACGCGGGAATGTCTCCGTCTTCTGCGGCAGTTCGCGCCATTTCCAAGCTGGAGGTAAACAACAATGGTGGCGCCCATCAACCCGCAGCAGCCGCCGCCGGGTCAGTGAAAACACTCAAATTCTCGGGTAAGGCAGACTGGGAGGCTTTCCATGCCCAATTTGAACTGCTTGCTCATGCCGGGGGGTGGTCAGTAGAGACTAAAGCACTACAGCTAGCTTTGTGCCTCACAGAAGAGGCTCTTTCATGTCTGCTACTACTTAGCCTTGAGGACCGACACAGCTATGAAGCGTTAGCGGGGGCTTTGAAGAGGCGGTTTGGACAGTGTTTCCCGCCAGAGCTGCTCCGGAACGAATTGAGTAACCGCTATAGGAAGTCTGGAGAGACGCTGCGTGCGTTGGCTAACGACGTGGAGAGCCTGACGCGGCGGGCATATGCACACATGCCACCCGGAGTGCAGAGTGAGCTGGCACGTGATCAATTCATCAGGGCTCTCCTCCCTGCGGACTTGAGGGTTGGGGTACAGCTGCAGCATCCACAGTCCTTGCAGGCGGCCTTGGAGATGGCTGTGGAGAGAGAGATTGTGTGGAGTGTAGCGGCGAGGAGCAACGGAAGGCCGGTACCACTGGCTGTGAGGAGCTGCAGAGTGGAGGAGAAGCCTGTATGGGTTACCGAAATGACTGAAAGTGTTAAAGTTTTATTAGAGGAGAAAATGAGGGAGATGGAAGCAGCTGTCAATGCAGAGAGGGAACTGCGGCAGCAACAGGAGGCTAGACTCAAAGCGGATCTGGCCTCTCTTGAGCGAGATCTCCAGGAGAGTAAAGAGAAGGAGAGCCTTGTGGCCTCTCTGGAGAAGTGCCTCCAAGAGGGCAAAGAGAGAGAAAGGAGCCTGGTGGAGGAGGGTGCCAAGAGGGAGGCGCAGTTCAAAGAGCTGCTCAGGAGCCTGGAAGCCGAGAAGGACAACCTGGAGGAGCATCTGACGAACCAGCTGTCCCAGCTCAATGGCAGCATCGCAGACTACCAGCAGGAGGCGGCGGACAACCGGGAGCACTTGGACATGACCAAAGGTGGTTTCGTGAGAATCACCCACTTGGCCGAGCTGCAGCGGGAGGTGGAGCGGTTGGCGAGGGAGCGGGCCGAGTTGGAGGCTGAGGCGCAGAGCGAGAGCGACCGCGCCGCCAGGCTGGAGGAGGACATTAGGCAAGCACAGAGAGAGAGAGCAGAAGCAGAGTCTGGTAAGCAGGAGGAGCTGCTGAGGGAGAAGCAGCTGCAGAGAGTTATATTGTAATGCTTAAGGAGTAATGCCGGCTTACTCCTGCCCTGGTTCGCGTGCTGCGGAGATTCTTTCGCTCGGGGGCAGCATGTGAAGAAGAGACCGAACGCCAGGGATCCACCGGATATATACCAGAGTAAGAAGGAGGGGTTTGGTGTTAGGTCAGCTGGTCATCTTTTCAGGTCATCTCATTGGGAGACGCAACGCTGGCCAGCAGGAAACCAAACAGGCTCACTTTACAACAAAAGGTCTCAAGGCCTGCATACCTACACCTCCCCCACAGAGCAATAAAACCCTGTTTACTCCAACCAGCCCAGAATGTTTATAGCCATTTGTAGTCCTTACATTTATGAAAGGATAAAACAGAGAAATCAATATAAAACACAAACACAGGTATTGTTTGAACAGTATTCACTTAACTGCTACTATTGATAACCACCAGAGAAACCCAAGGGACCTCTCTTAATATCACAAACACTGTAGCTCGTTCTAAGTTGAATGCAAATCAGGACATGCTCTCACCTTCCCCCATCTTCCTTTGTCCTCAAAAACACATGTCAACAGGTCCCATATCCAGCTCACAGTTTTACCCAAATTATTCCCATTTTAAGCTTATCCATAGTTTGCTAACATGAATAAATACAAATATAACTCTACAAGAGGGACTGCATCAAGTACCAGGAGAGGATCAGCGAGATGGGTAGAGACGCTAAGGCGCTGCAGCAAGGTTACAACGAGCTCCAGAATAAGCTAGGACAATCCCAGCTGGAGACTTTGAAAATTCTAGAAGACCTGAAAAGGACAGAAGCAGAGTTGGATACCGGTAAACCTCAGCTGGATGAGTCCCAGAAGCAGGCAAGCGTAGCTATAGCGGAGAGGAGTATCATGGAGCAGAACGCCCAACACAGAGAGGCCTCGATGAAGGCAGAGGTGGAGCAGACCCTGGACTCTGTGAGGTTCAGACTCAGAGGCGAACTGAAGGAGATGGAGCTGAGACTGGACGAGGTGGACAGAAGCGGAACTATGACACCAGGACAAGAGGGCAGCATTTCCGGGCCGGGGAGCTGGTCTGGGTCTACAGCCCACAACGGAAGAAAGGCCGGTGCCCAAAACTGGACAGTCAGTGGGTTGGTCCCTGCAGAGTACTGGAGAGGGTGGGGGTAGTGTTTGTGCTGAGTTTTATTTGTTCCTCGTGGGCGAGGAACTTTGTAGTGGGGGTGTAGTGTAGCGATCCTGTTAGGCTACTCAGGGTGTCACTTAGGCATCCCCCGTCTCTCTGCCAATCATAGAGCTGCACCGTGATGGTGGCTGAGGTGCGGGCCTGTGGTTGGTGGAGCGGACGGGGGAGGGCGGGGAGTTGTGACGTAGACAGTGCTATATATATGGGTATGTGTAGAAGTTAGTGTGAGTGGAGTGTGCGGTAGAACCCACGAAGTGTACTTGACCTGTTATCATCTGTCTTCAAATACTAGTTATTAAAGCCTAATAACTACAAGCCTGTCTCCGACTCATCTTGGGAACGTTACAATACTGTCTATGAGTATTTCGTGTGTGTTTGCAGACATTCTCCTGCTATGAGATACATGTAAGGCCATGTGCTAACATTGGTGTTGAGGTCTGGGAATGCTCGTTAGCCCTCGTGTTTACCTCGGCAGCATAGCATTAGCATAGCATTTACACAGTCGTGGTAGATACATTGTTTGTTTTAAACAGAATAAATACACAAACCACAATGAATACTTACAGGTTGTGTACCCGAATCTCCCGCTGTTCCAAACAAAGTAGGAACAGCATCGTCCTCCAACATCAGCTTTGCAAGTCCGAAGCTAAACATTGTTAAGTTTTTAAAGCTTTGGTCCGTGAAATGCCGCGCACACACAACAGTACCGGCTGGTAAATCAGCTGGAACAGTGTTAAAAAGGAATGTCAACCACTGCCTTCGTCGTGGTTCTGCCTTCGGTACTGCAAACATTGTGGACATGACTGGATAGAGCTTTGAAAAGAAGCAGGTTTTACGACACTTAATATGGTCGGCTGGCAGAGGAAGTGACGTCACGTGGTGCAGCTACGTCACGCGGGGCAGGAAGTAAACAATGGAAACTGAGAAATCTCCAACGAGGCTTTTGGGGGAGGTATTTTCTGTGTTAGAGTTTTACTCCCTACAGGGTGTACTTTGAGGGGAGAAATATATTGTGATGGC